TTAACGGCTCGAGTATTTTTGGCATGTATTTTCAGCGTATGAATCGGTAGCAACGTGCGTAATATGTATAACCATAAATGTATTACCATATACGAAGTATGTAAACACACCTAACCGGCGATTCTAGAATTTCCGTTTCATTTGTTAGAAATATTTTCCATTTATTTCCATTACCAATGTTTCCATGTAACAAATGATTCTAGGCCTAGGATTTTATGTGTGATTATCGTTTCGGCAGTTTCCTATTAAAGACGTGTGCATATGACATACGGAGTATGTTATATATAATATTATGTACGTAGTAATATGTATGTAGGTAGAATAGTTATGTATCATGTATCATGTATGGTGATTATTCGAATCACCATTTCATTTTTTTTTGCTTTCAAACAACAACAAAAATAATTAAAGCTTTATTTTATTTCTACTTTATTTTTACACCCATAATTGATATCTCATTTATTTTTATGAGATAAAATTTATGTGCTTTATTTTAATTTTATTATTATCTTTATTTTAAAATTTTAGGGTGTCACAGTTTCTGATGAAGTGAGGAGGTGTTCTGTTGGGGGGATGGGAGTGTATGCACAGAGGGGGATAATGGAATCAGGGGTTCTGTTGGAATAGTACAGAAGGGGTTTTCTGGTGAGGAGATTGGGTGGAGTAGTAAAGGGAGTTGGCATTCTGGGTGAGAGTGGAGGTTCAGGAATTACCTCAAGTAGAGTCTCTGTGAACTGTGAATTTCTCCATTCCTTGACCAGCCTCTCCATGACCAAGGGTAGATCATTAGCAGTGGAGGGTTCCCCTTCTCCATGTGCACTATGTCGAAATTTGATCATGGATTCCTTCCTCTTCTTTTCAATCAGCCATTCATCAAAGGCTGCCACCTCATCTTCTGTCAGAGCCTTGACATGCTCTTCTTCTATGACATGAGTGAGCTTGCTCTTGCCTTTGCATTCCCCCTTTTTCTTCTCAGCAAGAACAGATAGAAGAAAGTCCTTGTTGAGGCATAGCTCAACATCTTCTGTGCCAGCCCACTTCAGAGCTTCAGCTTCCTCTATGATAAAATTGGGGAGCAATCTGAGTAGTTCTGGGAGAGGTCCCACTCTCCACTTCCTCCAAGCCAGAACCCTGATAAATACTTTGTCTACATCAGAGGGGATATGCTCCTGGGGTTCTGTGGGCTCAGGAGTTCTGTCTTTTTGATGATGTTCTGATGATGTAAGTATCATGGGTTGCTCAGGCAAGGTTGCAGAGGGAGATCTGTGAGATTCCCCCTGAATAGTAGCATCCAGTACTGCTACATCTTCTTCAGAGTCACTAGACTCAAAAACAATCCTCTTTCCTTGCCAAGCATTTTTGTTGGCTGGGGCAGAGGTGACAGAATCATCCAGCTTCTCCTGTGCTGCAGGTGTCAGAACCCTTGCCTTCTTTGCAATGGGGGGGGGGGGGGGGCAAAGGGGGTGCTTTCTGTAGAGATAGGGGAAGGTGCCTTTCTCTTTAAAACAGATTTCTTAGCCATCAGCTTCTGAACCTTGGCTGGGGCAGCCTTCTGCAGAACAACCTTCCTCACAGGTTTTCTGATCAGAATTTCTTCTTCTTCAGATTCTGAAGGTGTAGAGGGTTTCTGCTGTTTCTTCACAGCCTTTTTGGGTTTGATGGCCTTCTGTTGGAGCTTCTCCCGGTTAAACTCCAGAGTTCTCAGCCTCTTCTGTTCAGACTTGAGTGCAACCTTTCGGTCACCAGAGGTATTGAGGAAGAGCAGTTTGGTGTAATCTGCCTCAATAGGGTTCCTCAGCCCTATCCTTGCCTTGAGCAGGGTTTCAGAGATTAAGAGGCCATAACCCATGGGGGTTTTGAACAGTCCAGTTTCCTTGTCCTTCTTTTTGATGAATTCAACTAGAGATTTGACGATTACCTGTCCCCAGTTGATGTTCATCCCATGATGAACTGCAAAGACAGCTTTTGCATTGAGCACATTCATGTCATCAGTGGAGGTGCTCTTGCTCCAGACACACCTATGGAGGATGTTCACCAGCTTTTCATAGTCACTTTGAAGGAGGTTCTTCTTCATGTACAATTTGGGAACTCTACCCACTTCAGGTCGGCAGTAGAGTTGGACAAAGTTGTCCACAGTGACCTTGACACTGTCCAGAGATAAGAAGCCTTCAGTCTCTTCTTCTTGAGGGTCCTCCACTACGCCAAACAGGGCGTTGAGAACTTCAGGAGTGAGGGTTATGTTCTCACCATTGACAGTTGACCTGATGGTCTCCCCTTCGTAAGTAGCGTTGAGATAAAACTCTACCACGTTCCTCATGCTGTAGGAATCAAAGTGATTTCCTACTACCTTGTTCAGTTGTGAGTCCTCCATTCCCTTGATGATTTTCATCATCGTTTCAAGATTAGCTGCGAGTTCAGGGAGTGCGGAGAGGTCGCAGTTCATCCCGGTATAGATGTTCGTGACCAGGGTGTTGATTTCTTCCTTGGTGAGGTCGTTGATGTTGATGAAAGCCATTAGAACAGAGAAAAGTTGCAGAGAGCTTGAGAGCTATGGAGATTTGAGAGTTTGAGAGTAAAGAAAGCAGTAACGGTTGTAGGCAGCATAGGCTAGAAATATTCTGATGGCTTCCAGTCTGGCAACTAGTGCAAATGTCTCATCAAAATCTATTCCTTCTTCTTGGCAATAACCTTTAGCTACCAGCCTTGCTTTGTTCCTTACAATGTTGCCATCTTCATCTGCTTTATTCTTGAATACCCATTTGGTTCCAGTGACATTCTGGTGCTTTGGCATAGGAACAAGTTCCCATACTTTGTTCCTTTCAAATTGAGTAAGCTCTTCTTGCATTGCATTGATCCAATCTGAGTCTGCAAGAGCTTCTTCCACAGTCATGGGTTCCATCTGAGATATATAGCAGGCAAGCATTGCTTCTCTCCTTGTTGAAGCTGATCTGGTCTACACACCACTTCTGATATGCCCAATTACTTGATTAGGAGGATGGTCTCTTAACCATGTCAGATCAGGTTCTGTCAGGTGCTGTCTGGGTCTTTCTTGTTCTTCATCTTCTGAGTCTTCATCTTCATTCATAAGAAGGGGGTTTGGTGCAGGTGTTGGAAATGCAGGATTGTCTGCTACCTCTTCTGTTGGTTCTGGTGCTTTGTCTTCTATGCTGACTTCCTTGAGGATCTTTGTTACCTCTTTAAGAGAGGTGCTTTCATCAAACTTCACATGTATAGATTCTTCAACATGTAGGGTCCTTCTGTTGAGTACTTTATAGGCTTTACTGGTGTTTGAATAGCCTATAAAGATACCTTCATCAGCCTTCTCTTGAAAGACTTTCAGATGCTCCTTTCCATTGTTAAGAATGTAGCACTTGCATCCAAACACATGAAAGTAGTTGATGTTGGGTTTCCTTCCTTTTCAGAGTTCATAAGGGGTCTTCTGGTGATTCTTGTTGATCATGCTTCTGTTCTGAGTATAGCATGCAGTGTTGATTGCTTCAGCCCAATATCTCATAGGTAGACCAGATTCTGCAATCATTGTTCTTGCAGCTTCTTTTAAGGTTCTGTTCCTCCTTTCTGCTACGCCATTCTGTTGAGGGGTTCTGGCGGCAGAGAGTTGATGAAAGGTTCCATTTTGATCACAGAAGTCCTTTATGACTTGGTTGACAAATTCAGTTCCTCTGTCAGACCTGATTGTCTTAACCTTCAAGTTCTTCTCAGTCTGAAGTTGCTTTAACAGAGATGGCAACTTCTGAAGAGTTTCATTTTTCTTTGACAGAAAGATAGTCCATGTATATCTGGAATAGTCATCAACCATGACTAGGGTGTATTTCTTGCCACCAACGCTTGGAGTTTCAACAGGTCCAAATAAATCCATGTGGATCAGATTTAAAGGACTTGTAGAAAGATTTCCAGCAATGGGTTTGAAAGAGTTCTTCTGTTGCTTTCCCTTCTAGCATGCACTGCAGAGGGTCTCTTTCTTGTAAACTATGTCTGGCAGTCCATCAACAATGTGTTCTCTTGCCAGTTTGTTGATTGTTTTGAAGTTCAAGTGGCTAAGCTTCTTGTGCCAGTCCCAGCTTAGTTTTGAATCTCCCTTGGCTATCAGGCAAACTCCATCCTTTGCAGTGTTCCAATCAACCACATAGATGTTCTTCTTCCTTGATGTTGTAAGAACCACTTCTTTTGTTGTCTCATGCTTCACATAGCATAAGTCCTTTGTGAATTGAACAGTGTAGCCTTTGTCACAGAATTGGCTAGCACTCAGCAAGTTGAACTTCAGTCCTTTGACATATGAGACATCATCAATGACTATCTGGTTCTTGATCAGCTTTCCTCTTCCTTTTGTTTGACCTTCTTTGTCATTACCTCCAAAGGTAACTCTAGGTCCTTTGCATTTCTGGAACTCAGTTAGGCAACTTCTGTCACCTGTCATGTGCCTGGAGCATCCACTATCAATAAACCATTCTTGCTCTGAGATAGCTCCAGCACACAGTTCCTGCAACATCAAAAGAAAGATTTAGGTACCCAAGCAATGCTGGGTCCTGGGGGGTCATGGAGTCTGGGTAGTTGGTACCATTTTGGTCTCATCAAGTGAAACCTTGGTGGGTGGTACCCATTGTCCACCTGGTAGTTATAGTAAACTGAAGTGTGATTCACTTTGGGCACATGCTTGTGAGGGTCATGCTTCCTGTTTACATACTTTTGCATAGCTTTCTTTGTTGGAAAGAAGTCCCATATACTATCAAGAGCAGAGGGACGGTTAGCTTTAGGCTTCTGAAGTTGACCAGCCAACCTCTTCTGCCTAAAGTTAACTCTCTCTTGATATTCGCCCTTCTGGTGATCATTTCTGGCACGATTGTCATGAGGTTGTCTGTCACGCCCCGGACCTAGCCGAACACGTCAACAACCCACCGTACAGTACGAATAGTCAACCGCAGTCCAACTCATCCATACTATACAAGGCGTCATGAATATCATTCACACATAGTACATCCATAAACAAACATAATGTAAAACATGCATTTAAAATAGCTGAAGCGTTATTACAATTGTTCAAGCCACACTTGGCATAACTAGGCATACAAGCCCCCAAAGTAATCATTAATAAAATAGTATCCATGAGCATTAACTTAATTGTTTTTAAAACAGAACGGAAGAAGCACGAACCACGTCTTCCTCCCTTGAGCCTCCCGAAGCAACGGGCAATGGTAGCAACTTCAAGTTCTACCTGAAACTGTGAGGTGGCCTCCCCCGTGAAGGGGAGGTCAGTACTTGGAAATATTTGACAAGTACAATAGCAACTATACTAAGTATAATCAACGTTTTAATTTCCAAGACCCTCAGTATAGGGTGATATCATAATATAAATAATAATTTATATTCCCACTTATTATCTTTATAATAAGTAAATTTATTTATTTGTCGGCACACGGCCCTTTTTATATATCCCTTTTCATTTATCATTTGCACAACCCAACCCTTGGGTCCTATTATTTCTACGGGACTTGCTACCGCTGTCCGAGACCTCATGAGGCTCCCGGTTCGGACTCCAACATCCCGCCCCTCGGCTCGTACCCATCATCGCGTAGGAAGGTAAGGCCCTTCGGGGTCCTATCTTATGTGTTACCGCTACCGGAACCTAGTTAGGTCTCCGATTCGGATTCCACCCTAACGTGATCACGATGTAAGTCCATGCTATCCAACCCCGCTCTCTAGAGTCGGGAAGGGCCATGGTCCTTACTATTTCCATAATTCAACCGGCTATCCACAAGAATTACCGATCACACCCGTAGGCCAATCCTATACTTAGGATCAATTTACTATTTACACTATCTTGGGTATCCCTTAAGGCCTACCCCTAGTATAACTTAAAGTTCATACTTTCCTACCTTAAAGCATCTCTTAAGACTACTTAAGGCATAACATTTCACAATCCAACCTTAGGATCAATCTCAACAACATTTCATTTTAATGTCCAACTAGTATCTTAATGCTAGTCAAATTTATATCAACAAACCAAGTTCTCAACTCATAGTCATATAGACAATTCCAACTGATTTTCCTTTGAAAAATATCATTTATCTCAGTATTCAAAATATCACTTTTAATCACTCATATATTCTAATATGAAGAAAAAAGTATATTTCAACATATATTTCATAATAAATTCCACTTTCACGTCAACGTACTCATAACACATGAACATACACAATTTACTCTTAAATTTGTATATCATGCTCCCTTTTTCTTTAGACACTTAGTCTTGTCATTTTTAGGCATTATTAATCGTTAATAATCCATAAAAATACTTTTAACTACCTTCGGTAATCTCATGAAATTAACTCACTAATTATAAGCAATATAGTCAGCCATCCTCACCTTATGATGTGCTGAAATAGTTGCCTTTGTTGAGCTCCCTGATAAATCCTCGTTTTAAACCGATGCAAAGGCAAAACTGGACTGCCTGGGCAAAAGCCGGGCGGCTTTCGTGGTCTGCAAAAACGAGCAGCTCCCTTAAAGTGGCGGTTTCCGGCGATTTCGACTCCTATCGATTCACCAACTCTTCTAAGTTAAATATCACCACTTTATATCAATATTCTACACTTTTAAACGTGTAGAACACCATGTTTAATCCCTCATATGATTTCTCAAAAATCATACACCAAAAACTAGTTAAAAGAACTATTTGAATTCTTACCTTTCTTTTGACTTAGTTTCTCTTGGGTTTCCTTCCTCCTAGCTTTCTCCAACTGTGGCTGAGGTTTGTAGAAGTCAACTCCAGAGCTTCCTCTCTCTCTTGAGGTTAGGCTTGTGCGGGTGAAATGGAATGGGGGGATATCTTCTCCTCAATCAATTTGAGGGATGATTGAGGGAGTAAGACAAGGGAGTTAATGGGTGGGTGTAGGCTTTGTCTCCATGAGGCTTCCTCATGCACGCCCCTCCCCCTTAACTTGTCAATCTGGTCACCTAAAAACGTGGGGTGGCCCCCCTTATGTGGGAGGTCATCCCATTATGTCCCGGTGTGTACAATCGGCCCCGAAAGTTGTATTTCTCGGTCCGTTTTAATTATATTTTATTTCATCGGGCCAAATAAAATATATCACGCGTCCCTAATAATTATGGACCTTTAGAATAGATGTACATTCCCCAACATTAATTTAGAAGCCTCCGGAACTCATTTCGGGCTGTTATCCGTTAAATTTCCAATACCGTAATTGGGCCCCGTTTGACCAACCGGTCAACTCCATGCCTTTCTTATGGCCCAAATAAAATATCCACCACCATATACATATTATCTAGACCAAGATGAATATAATATGTGGTTCGGGAATTATCGGGCGGTCCCCGTTCCCGCTGTGGGCCCCACATGCAATTTACTATTCACGTAAAAGAAATAATAAAAATTTACCACTACGCAAATTCATAAATCATCTTCCAAGGTTTATTACATAATTTACTGAAAGCAAATATGCTCGGGGTCGGTGTTACAAGTTCACCCCCCCTTAACGGGAATTTCGTCACCGAAATTCACAGTGCTTATTCAAACAAAAATGCGTATTGCTCTTTCATCAAAGCTTCCGTTTCCCAAGTTTCCTCTTCGACTCGGTCACTTTTCCAAAGGACTTTAACCATTGGAACTTTCTTGCTTCTCAATTTCTTGACTTGCATAATTCAAGAAATACATGAGATGGATCCGGCATATACTTCTTAAGCATAGACACATGGAATACGTTATGTATCTTCTCCAATTCTGGAGTCAACTGTAATCGGTATGCCACGGCCCCAATCCTCTCAAGAACCACGAATGGCCCTATGTATCGTGGGTTAAGTTTCCCTCGGCTCTGAAATTGGATGATTCCCTTCCAAGGTGAAACTTTCAAAAATACTTCATCCCCCACCTTAAACTCCAAGGCTCTTCGGTGCTTATCGGCGTAACTTTTCTGTCTATCCTGGGCCGCCTTAAGTCTCTCACGAATCATCTTCACCTTAGACTTGGTGATCTCCACCAATTCCGTGTTCTCGAGTTTGGCCATGCCAACCTCATCCCAACACAACGGTGTACGACATCTCCTCCCATACAATGCCTCGTATGGAGGCATGCCTATACTCGCCTGATAACTGTTGTTATAGGAAAACTCCACAAGTGACAAATGGTTGTCCCAACTCCCTTGGAACTCCAATGCACAGGCTCTCAGCATATCCTCTAATATCTGTATAACCCGCTCAGATTGCCCATCCGTTTGTGGATGAAAAGCTGTACTGAATTTCAATTTGGTCCCCATAGATTCTTGGAACTTCGGCCAAAACCGTGATGTGAATCGCGGATCTCTATCGGATACAATGGTTATAGGAACCCCATGTAGCCTCACGATCTCGTCCACATACAACTTGGCTAACCTCTCCAGTGCATAGGTAGTGTTGATAGGCAGAAAGTGTGCACTCTTCGTGAGCCTATCGACCACCACCCATACGGCATCATAGTTCTTAACCGTTCGTGGCAGCCCCACCACGAAATCCATAGTCACGTGCTCCCACTTCCATTCGGGAATGGAAAGTGGGTGTAGTAACCCAGCCGGATGTTGATGTTCTGCCTTAACTTGCTGACAAGTAAGACACCTACTAATGTACTCAGCTATTTCCCTCTTCATACCCGACCACCAGTAACTTTCCTTCAAATCACGGTACATCTTCGTGCCTCCCGGGTGCATGGCATACGCCGATGAATGAGCCTCCTCTAAGATGGACTTTCGGAGCTCATCATCCAACAGTACACACACTCGGTCACGAAATAATAAGAGACCATCGTCTCTCTCCCTGAAATCCTCAACCGGTCCCGCTAGCATGCGTTCACGGATCTTCATAAGTTCTTCGTCGGTTTCTTGACCCTTCTTGATTTCATCAAGTAATGTAGGTCTCACCTCGAATCTAGCTAACAAGGCACCATCGTTGGATACCTCCAATTGGGCTCTCAATGCCCTCAAGCTAGTCAATAATGCCCCAGATGAATTCTTTCGGCTCAAGGCATCCGCTACCACGTTGGCTTTACCGGGGTGGTACTCGATAACTAGATGGTAGTCTTTTATCAACTCCATCCACCGTCTCTGTCTCATGTTTAACTCTTTTTGAGTAAACACGTACTTCAGACTTTTGTGGTCGGTGTATATATGGCATGTTTCCCCGTAGAGATAATGTCTCCAAATCTTCAATGCGAACACCACCGCCCCCAGCTCTAAGTCATGAGTGGGATAATTTACCTCATGCTTCTTCAACTGTCGTGAAGCATAGGCAATCACCCTCCCATTCTGCATCAAGACACATCCAAGCCCTTGGATGCTTGCGTCACTGTAGACATCGTACCCCACACCCTGTTTGGGTAGTGCGAGTACCGGTGCCTCAGTCAACCACTTCTTCAGTTCAAGGAATCCCTTCTCACATTGGTCATCCCATACAAACTTGGCCCCCTTTCGAGTGAGCTTTGTCAATGGCGATGCCAAAACTGAGAACTTCTCCACAAATTTTCGGCAGGGTATCCAAGGAAACTACGAATTTCCTTGACGTTCTTTGGCCTCTCCCATTCAGTAATGGCCTCAATCTTCTTGTTATCTACGGCAATCCCTGATCCCGAAACCACATGCCCGAGAAAGCCAATCTCCCTTAGCCAAAATTCACATTTGGAAAACTTGGCATAGAGTTGCTTCTCCCGTAGTGTCTCAAGAACAAGTATCAAGTGCTCCTCACGCTCTTCTTCACTCTTCGAGTAAATAAGGATATCATCTATGAACATAATCACAAACCGGTCCAAGTATTTATGAAATACTCGGTTCATCAAGTCCATAAATGCCGTCGGGGCGTTGGTTAGCCCGAATGACATAACCAGGAACTCGAAATGACCATACCTTGTGCGGAATGCACTCTTCGGTATGTCATCCTCCTTTATCTTCAGTTGGTGGTATCCCGACCTCAAGTCAATCTTCGAAAACACCGTCGCTCCTCGGAGCTGATCAAACAAGTCATCAATCCTAGGCAAGGGATACCTATTCTTGATTGTGACCTTGTTCAGTTGACGATAGTCTATGCACATTCGAAGTGTTCCATCTTTCTTTTTCACGAAAAGGACCGGTGCTCCCCGCGGAGAGTGACTCGGCCTTATGAAACCGTTATCCAATAGCTCTTGCAATTGGGTTTTCAACTCGTTAAGTTCAGCGGGTGCCATTCTGTATGGCGGTATAGAGATTGGTTTGGTGTCGGGTTCAACCTCGATCACGAATTCAATCTCCCTATCGGGTGGAAGTCCTGGCAAGTCTTTTGGGAAGACATCCGGATACTTGCACACTACTCTCACATTATTGATGTCTATCTCTTCTTTGGTTTTGTCCACCACATACGCTAGGTACGCGTGGCATCCCTTTCTCATCATATTCCTCGCCCTCACGGCGGATATGATACAACTGTTTGATTTGCCTCTATCCCCCTCGAAGTGTAAGGTCAACCCTTCACCGCCTTCGAGTTCAAGGATCTTCGTGTAGCAATCGACCCTAGCATGATGTTTCTCAAGCCAATCCATCCCGAGGATTGCATCAAACTCGATTATGCTCAGCGGTACGAAGTCACACGTCAAGTTCTGTCCCTCCACCTCCACCTCACACGATGGATAGTGGCTATCTCTCTCGATATCATCCCCTAGAGGCGTGGACACCAATAGGGTTTGAGTCATCGGTACAAGTGGTCCGTTGAATCCGCTGGCGAACGCCTCACTCACAAATGATCGTTGCGCCCCGGTATCAATAAGGATCCTTGCGTCTCTCCCGTTTATCTTTAGTGTTCCTACATTCATAAGTAATGTAAGACACACTATCTAATTAATAGGCTTGTTTCTTAAGTCGTAGAGTATGTTGGTTGTGGTTCGGGTGGGGTCCGTTTGACACCCGTCCGAAAATTCCCGGTTACTAGCCTTTAGGACCGTTCTAGGACCCAACTAGGTGAAAGCCGGCCGCTTTTCACGAAAGCCGGCCGGTTTTCGTCTGCGAGAAAAAATCCCATTATGAAAATCACGAAAGCCGGGCGGCTTTCACGAAAGCCGGCCGGTTTTCGTCGTCGTGGTTTTATTCGTGGAGTGATTTCGAAGGTTGGCCGGTTTCTACGAAACCCGGCCGGGTTTCAGCAGCGCAGAAATCCCCAGGCTTAACGAAAGCCGGGCGGCTTTCGCCAAAGCCGGGCGGCTTTCAGCTGCGAGAAATTCTCCAGGTGGGGTATTTACGAAAGCCAGCCGGTTTTTGGTTGCGAGAATTTTTTCTGAATTATTCTTGACGAAAGCCGGGCGGTTCTCGGTGGATGCCGGCCGACATTCGTTGCCGTAATATTTTACCCAAAAATCAAGACGAAAGCCGGGCGGCTTTCGTCAATGCCGGGCGGCATTTGTCCAGGGCGAGGATTCTCCTCCCCTTTTTCCGCTTCAAACCCGACCAAACTCGTCGGGGTTATAATTTTAACAAGTTTCACACTCATGTTGTTTATAATAGATTAATACGTGAGTTTAAGGAATTACCCGCAACGGGGTCCGGGTTGGCACGAGCATCCGCCTCCGTCATAGCATAGACCCTCGCTTGGGTCCTTCCTTGGTTTACGGATGGCGCGTTGCTTGCACTCGCCCCACCGTGCCCACCGCTAGCATTTGGTGCTCCGGTTCGGTTCCTGCTCACCGTCGTTGCACTACTCGGTCCGGTCCCCATGGCTCGCCCAAGTTGTGGGCAACTCACCTTCAAATGCCCGACCTCCCCGCATTGATAGCACCTCGGGGGATCGCGGCACTTGCCAAAGTGGTGCTTCTTGCAGTTGCTGCACTTCTTCACGCCTGAGCCTTGTGACACAGAGCTTTGCCCGCTCGGGCCTTGATTTCCCCTTACCGGTGGTGCAGGGGTTTTGAAGAATCCGCCTCCCCCGTGGTTCCCCTTCTTGTTGGAACCTTGAGAGCCATGGTTCTCCCATTTTCTTTTCTTTGCCTCCTCGGCATTCCTTCGTTTTCTTTCCTCCCACTCCTTCTCCCCTTTCAGGCCTTGTTCAACCACTTGACTAAACGTCATATTAGGCAATTGTGTTGCCCTCTCGCGTATGTCAAGGTCCAAGGCATCCCAGAAATGGTTCACCATCCGGTTTTTATCACAAATGTACTCCGGTATGAACTCAGCAAGCTTTCTGAACTTGTGCTCAAGTTCCTTCACCGTACATTCACCTCCTTGGGTCAAATTCGTGTACTCCCTCCTCTTCAAGTTCACCTCGAAGTCGGAGTAGTATTGGCTGAAGAACTCCTGTCTGAAATTCTCCCAAGTGACGGCCTCGCCGTACTTCCCTTTTGTTCCATCCCACCACGTGGACGCCATGCCCTCTAGTAGCCTCGTGGCTACCCTCAGCTTCATGTGGGGTGGTAGTTGCATGTCGAGGGCCGCTTCGTTGAATCTTTTGATCCACTCGGCCGCCACGAAGATGTCCCCCGTTCCATCAAACGGTTTACATCCCAAGTCTCTTGCCTCCTTGAGGTACTTTGAGATCCTTATTATAGGGACCTCAGCACCTCCCCCTCCTCGGGATTCTATGATCTCCCGGGGAGTCACGCGGCTTCCTCTCCTTGAAGCCCCTTCCAAAGCACGCCTTGCCCGGCGCTTTTGGCGATCTTGGTGGTATTGCCGGAGCAATTCCTCAATCCGCTCGAGAGCTTCATTATCATCGCTCTCGTCGCTAGCATCATCGTATTCCCCATCATATGGGGTCTCAACCGGCTCAGTTCCCGGTCAGTAAGTTGAATCCTCCTCGGACTCATATTGCTCGTCTATAGTTTCCACATGACCGTCACTCACGGTCAGCGAGTGGCCTGCACGGCCTTGTCCCCTAGACACCCTCGATCCTCCCCGACTACCACGTTGGGATCCTCCCGGTGCTTGGCCAGTCGGGTTTCGTCGAGTAACCTTCCCGGTACGTTCCATTTCTGAAAGAATTTAGAATGAGTCATTAGACTCATATCAAATGTCAATTGACGGATAGGCACTTAAAGACATCCTTTGGCTCGAATCACCGCCATGCCAATTGCTAAGGGTACCATCTTAACAATTAGAGACATTGCAACTCAAGTACCAAAAGTTCTATAAGTACAAAACTTTATGCTCATGGTTTTCAATTCCTTTTTCAAAAAGCATTTTGAAGCTTCATTATGATGTTTACGGACTAAGGCTCTGATACCAATTAAATTGTCACGCCCCGGACCTAGCCGGACACGTCAACAACCCGCCGTACAGTACGAATAGTCAACCGTAATCCAACTCATCCATACTATACAAGACGTCATGAATATCATTCACACATAGTACATCCATAAACAAACATAATGTAAAACATGCATTTAAAATAGCGGAAGCGTTATTACAATTGTTCAAGCCACACTTGGCATAACTAGGCATACAAGCCCCCAAAGTAATCATTAATAAAATAGTATCCATGAGCATTAACTTAATTGTTTTTAAAACAGAACGGAAGAAGCACGAACCACGTCTTCCTCCCTTGAGCCTCCCGAAGCAACGGGCAATGGTAGCAACTTCAAGTTCTACCTGAAACTGTGAGGTGGCCTCCCCCGTGAAGGGGAGGTCAGTACTTGGAAATATTTGACAAGTACAATAGCAACTATACTAAGTATAATCAACGTTTTAATTTCCAAGACCCTCAGTATAGGGTGATATCATAATATAAATAATAATTTATATTCCCACTTATTATCTTTATAATAAGTAAATTTATTTATTTGTCGGCACACGGCCCTTTTTATATATCCCTTTTCATTTATCATTTGCACAACCCAACCCTTGGGTCCTATTATTTCTACGGGACTTGCTACCGCTGTCCGAGACCTCATGAGGCTCCCGGTTCGGACTCCAACATCCCGCCCCTCGGCTCGTACCCATCATCGCGTAGGAAGGTAAGGCCCTTCGGGGTCCTATCTTATGTGTTGCCGCTACCGGAACCTAGTTAGGTCTCCGATTCGGATTCCACCCTAACGTGATCACGATGTAAGTCCATGCTATCCAACCCCGCTCTCTAGAGTCGGGAAGGGCCATGGTCCTTACTATTTCCACAATTCAACCGGCTATCCACAAGAATTACCGATCACACCCGTAGGCCAATCCTATACTTAGGATCAATTTACTATTTACACTATCTTGGGTATCCCTTAAGGCCTACCCCTAGTATAACTTAAAGTTCATACTTTCCTACCTTAAAGACTACTTAAGGCATAACATTTCACAATCCAACCTTAGGATCAATCTCAACAACATTTCATTTTAATGTCCAACTAGTATCTTAATACTAGTCAAATTTATATCAACAAACCAAGTTCTCAACTCATAGTCATATAGACAATTCCAACTGATTTTCCTTTGAAAAATATCATTTATCTCAGTATTCAAAATATCACTTTTAATCACTCATATATTCTAATATGAAGAAAAAAGTATATTTCAACATATATTTCATAATAAATTCCACTTTCACGTCAACGTACTCATAACACATGAACATACACAATTTACTCTTAAATTTGTATATCATGCTCCCTTTTTCTTTAGACACTTAGTCTTGTCATTTTTAGGCATTATTAATCGTTAATAATCCATAAAAATACTTTTAATTACCTTCGGTAATCTCATGAAATTAACTCACTAATTATAAGCAATATAGTCAGCCATCCTCACCTTATGATGTGTTGAAATAGTTGCCTTTGTTGAGCTCCCCGATAAATCCTCGTTTTAAACCGATGCAAAGGCAAAATTGGACTGCCTGGGCAAAAGCCGGGCGGCTTTCACGAAAGCCGGGCGGCTTTCGTGGTCTGCAAAAACGAGCAGCTCCCTTAAAGTGGCGGTTTCCGGCGATTTCGACTCCTATCGATTCACCAACTCTTCTAAGTTAAATATCACCACTTTATATCAATATTCTACACTTTTAAACGTGTAGAACATCATGTTTAATCCCTCATATGATTTCTCAAAAATCATACACCAAAAACTAGTTAAAAGAACTATTTGAATTCTTACCTTTCTTTTGACTTAGTTTCTCTTGGGTTTCCTTCCTCCTAGCTTTCTCCAACTGTGGCTGAGGTTTGTAGAAGTCAACTCCAGAGCTTCCTCTCTCTCTTGAGGTTAGGCTTGTGCGGGTGAAATGGAATGGGGGGATATCTTCTCCTCAATCAATTTGAGGGATGATTGAGGGAGTAAGACAAGGGAGTTAATGGGTGGGTGTAGGCTTTGTCTCCATGAGGCTTCCTCATGCACGCCCCTCCCCCTTAACTTGTCAATCTGGTCACCTAAAAACGTGGGGTGGCCCCCCTTATGTGGGAGGTCATCCCATTATGTCCCGGTGTGTACAATCGGCCCCGAAAGTTGTATTTCTCGGTCCGTTTTAATTATATTTTATTTCATCGGGCCAAATAAAATATATCACGCGTCCCTAATAATTATGGACCTTTAGAATAGATGTACATTCCCCAACATTAATTTAGAAGCCTCCGGAACTCATTTCGGGCTGTTATCCGTTAAATTTCCAATACCGGTAATTGGGCCCCGTTTGACCAACCGGTCAACTCCATGCCTTTCTTATGGCCCAAATAAAATATCCACCACCATATACATATTATCTAGACCAAGATGAATATAATATGTGGTTCGGGAATTATCGGGCGGTCCCCGTTCCCGCTGTGGGCCCCACATGCAATTTACTATTCACGTAAAAGAAATAATAAAAATTTACCACTACGCAAATTCATAAATCATCTTCCAAGGTTTATTACATAATTTACTGAAAGCAAATATGCTCGGGGTCGGTGTTACATTGTCTGTCAATGAATGGTCTCTTAGTTTTGTTATCTTGAAAACCTTTTCTGTTGTTAGGTTTTCTGCCAGGTTCATTATTTTTCAAAAAGGGTTTCTGTTGAACCTTTATCTTTCCCTTTTCTGGTCTAACTTCCTCATGAACAACCTTGGTGCCAGATACACCAGCTTGACAAATGGGGCTAGAAATCAGTGGTCCTATGACCTTATCTGGCTTAGCAAAACTGGTGCTAGGCATTACAGAAGGCTCACCTGATTCTATTGAGCCATAACCAAGACCAAAGCGAGTGCCAATCTGTTGATCAAGTACAATCTTTTCCATGGAAGACTGGGCCTTCTGGTAAGCTTTGTACTTAATCTCGAGAGGCTCTATTTGTCTTATTCTCTTGAGAAGAGAAACATTTTCAGTCTCTAGCTG